GGGGCCCAATTTATGCATCTGTAATTTAAGAAAATTTTGATGATTTTAGCTAGAGTTCCATTCAAAATTAAATAATACAAATAATACTAGAAGCCCAATGCACGAAATTCATGCAAGAGTAGGCCTTCCTTCCCTCTGGCCACCAGCACCTGGGACTCGGGCTTCCCTCACAGCCCCGGCTTCATCCAGAAGGTCATCTGAAGGGAGGTCCAGAAAGACATCCAGTCTAATTAGCATATTATGCTTTTATTATTATAGATACCCTACTGTAATTTTAAACATTCATTTATGACAGCATTTTTCCAAATCTTTACATGAATTGGGAAGTACTATCTGTCTGTATTTTGTTGATATGAAAACTTACAGAAGTTCAATGACCTTCCTTAGGCCACGTACACGGGAACTGACATGGGAGAAGTTTGTACCCATTTTGGTCTCAGTCCATTTGAATTACATGATTCAGTGTGATTAAGGTAAGATTATTGGAAGAGGTAACTTTCTCAGCTGACGCAGTGTCTAAAAGCATGAGATTCCAGAGAACCTTTATTTTTATGTTTACACTAGAGGTCCGGTGCATGAATTTGTGCACGGTGGGGTCCCTTGGCCTCACTGGTGATTGATCAGGGCCTTTCAGGGCCGAGGGAGGTTGGCTGGCAGGGGGAGGGGCTGCAGGGGGTTGGCTGTGGTAGCGCACTGACTACCAGGGGGCAGCTCCTTCTTTGAGCTTCTGCCCCCTGGTGGTCAGTGCGCATCATAGAGACCGGTTGTTCAGTCATTCGGTTGTTCAGTCGCTTAGGCTTTTATATATATAGAAAACAATTATGGTTTCAAATATGTGGATTTCCCCTGGATTTCTGTACTAGATTTTCCTTTCCTTCTCAGTGGTAGGACAAAAAGACTTGAATAGTGGTGATTATGGGGCACACACTCTGGGTTCCTGGACAATGGACCAACTGGGAAGTGCTCCCCACTTCTAGTCTAGGAGGTTGCACCCAAAGTTGACTTTCTAAAGAGGCCTGGCTCCCTCCCTGTACCAGGACTCCCAGACAATGCTGGAGACAGCTGACCCCTATGCCAGCTGCCTGGTGCCCTAAGAGAGATTTCCCCCACTGACAAAGTTGCTCTCCTTGAACTATGGGAAGTGGGAGAAGCAAAGGGTTCCTTGGAACATACATCCTTGATGTATTCAGCATAATAGCCTGGCTCCAGCATCTCCCTCTGAGGGTTGATGGCACTGGGGTCCTGTACCTTCTCTTCCCTTGATGATCCCTGATTTGTAAGGTTCTCCAATAAAGCCTATTCTCCAATGCTACCACGGTATAATTTGACCCGAGACCTGCTGCATAGCAGGTGGAGAACGGGAAGAGACCTACTTTTCAGTCTGTTTTCATTCCTTAAGATTAATTTGGAATCATTAAGAATCACAATGAGAATTACATAATTAAGAATTGCAAACAGCTATGCATCTCATACTGCACAATTTACAGAATGTTTTCATATTCTATATTCTATGTAATTCTCACAAAAATCTGACAAACCAAGATTTATTTTTAATATACAGACAACAAATCTTAGTTTCAGAATGGTTAAAAGCCTCCCCCCCATAATAAAAAATCTGGCGTGGATATCAAGTCTTTCAGCTCCAAGTCTTGCTCTTTCTCCACTGCTCCTGACAGTGTTGGAACACACCTCTAGAACCAACTATTCATTGCAACATAATGAAAGCATCCACAGAGTGGACCCTTTGCCAGGTGCTGGTGAATTCAAAGACTGATAAGGCATAACTGAAAGCTTTCTTTCTTGTGCCAGACAGAGAAGATCATTTTATTAGCTATTTATTAGAAACATACTCATTACATTTTCAGTTAGCTCACAATAGAATGCCTCTATTATGAAACACTAGAGGCCTGTTACATGAAGAGATTCGTGCAATAGGCCTTCCCTTCCCTTGGCTGCTGGCACCGGTTTTCCTCCTGCACCGGGGACCCAGGCCTTCGCTCTGGCTGGGCCCTGGTCGGAGCCACCCCGGAGCCGTCAGGCTTCGCTGCTCAGCAGGCCCCGGGGCCGTGTGGCCTAGCTGCTCCGCCTGGCACTGGGGCCATGTGGCCTCACTGCTCCGCCGATCCTGGGGCCATTAGGCCTCGCTGCTCCGCGGGCCCCGGGGCCGTGAGTCTTCGCTGCTCCGCCGATCCAGGGTGTGAGGCCTCGCTGCTCCGGCCCGGGGCCGTCAGACTTCACTCCACCGCTTGGAACCTAGTATGCAAATTAACCACCATCTTTGTTGGCGGTTAATTTGCATATCGCGCTGATTAGCCAATGGGAGGAGTAGCGAAGGTATGATCAATTACCATGTTTGTCTATTATTAGGTAAGATTAGACACATTTTATAAAAGCAAAGGGGTGGGGATGTGTTAGCTGTGACTCAGCCAGAAGGAAACAAGACATTGGCAGTGTCCAAGTCCCTGAGGAACTGAAAAGTTATGATCCAATCAGATCCTGCTGGCGGGGTGTGTGTGTGCATGAGGCTGCTTCTCACCTGTGATCTCAATTCAGGTGTGCTCTTGAAAATGTTTTCAGATGCAAACACATTTCTCTAAAATCTACACTTCTTATCGGTAATCCCACTAATGGTGTCCCTGTGAGTTTAGACATGACGTGATACTGGTGCCTCCAATTTAATATTTTCAAAGCTGCTCTCATCATCTAGCTCCTCCAAGCTTTGTTCCTTGGCCTGATATGCGACCTTGCTTCCACTCCATTCCTAGGTGCCTGATGGGGAGCCTATCCAGTCTCCTCTCTCTCTTCTTGACTCATCATAACTATCAAGTCCTGCAGATACTATTTCCAAAATATCTCATATATATTTCTTCTTCTCCATGGTCTTGCCTCTGATGCCTTTCAAGGGCTATCACAACATCCTCCTTCTCCCCTCCTGTCTCTCCCATCAAGCCTCCTCCACAGGACTCAATGAAGATAAATACAAATTCTTATCACCCTAAGAAGTATCGAAGCTCTAATGGTATACCTCCTACATGCTTAGCCCTACTGTGGTTCTCCTTTCTTCTCCACATCACATTCCAGAGCTACTGTACAGACAGTTCCCCAAAGTGATCATGCTTATTCATGCCTCTACTCCAAGACCACCTTTCGAGGAAGAGTGTGGCTGGAAAAATCTTCACTATCAAGCATCACTCTCTGTAAGGGCTTTCCTACCTCATCCCTCCACTCCCTCCCATTAGGCTTGAAATTTCTTCCACTGGCTTTGTTATTATCCTGCAATGTCTTCGTCAGAGCACTGATTGTACTACATTGTCTGTGGGTTTCCCCCCACTAGTTTTTGAGCAAGTTGAGGACAAAGAGCATGCTCTATTTGTCATGGAATCCTTAGCACTTAGCATGATGTCTGGCCAAAATGAACTTCACTTGAATGTATGCACCAGATTTCCCTTTTCATTAATATCTCAACTTTCCTTTGTGGTAGGACAAAGAATTGAACGTGAGGTGCCAGGACTGTGAACCATCTGGGACAGAGCTCACACTTGTAGTCAGGAAGGCTGCACCCAATGTCAGCTTCCCAACAGGGCTGTGAGTCAATGTTGAACAGACAAATAAGGGTCTTGGAACTTGCTTAAGAACACACAACTATAAAAGTGTCAATATACCATAAGCCAGAGCAGTTCTCGTTATTGTCATTCACGATTTTATCTCATCCCTAGATGAATCCCTAGCACAGAAGATATCAATCAATATTTGTTGAGTTAATGATTGACAGAATGAATGATTGACTGACAATATGAATGAAAAAGTTAACTTCACTCAACTGTCCTTCTGATTCCACTTTCCCGACTTCCAGTCTTTGTATAGATGCGTATGTGCACATACATCTTTTAAGCACAATTACAAATTGAATATCATGATTTTCTCTTTACAATGCACCACAATTAAAGAATAGTGATAGCTATTTAAATACATACACAGAAATTCTAAGCCACTGCAATATAAAGCCTCAGTAATCCATTTACTAAAAAATAAATAAAAATGTCGCTTTTGAAAGATAGGTTGACATCCTACCAAACAATCTATTAACTTCATAATCAGAATTAGTTTTCAGTTAACTGTTTGAATAAACTTGTAAATTGCCTTCTAAATAGTGTAAAACAGAGGCGAGGGCATTCTGTCACGTGAAAAAAAAAACACAAGGCTGTGCTCGGTGCTGCCTTCCAGAGGCAGGAAGGGAACAGAGAGGGCCTCTCCCTGTCTCTGAAGCTGTGAGAAGCAGGTGCCTGCTGCCTGTATGCCTCTGGGAGGAACCTTACTTAGGTTTGTGTTCTTCCACCTGAACTTGCGGGGCCTTTTTCACACGGAATGACAGCTTTTTTTACCTTTAAAACTGACACAAACCTCACCATTCACTTTGAAGCAGGACAAAAGCCAACAGAGGGATGAAAGAGACCCAAACTAGATCTTTCTCAAACTGATTTCTATTAGAGTTACACACAGTTCAAGGTATGAAAGAAAAGTAGAGCAGCCAGCACTACTGCTGAAGACAAGAGCAAAGAACAATTTTCCCTTCCCTCCCACACCCCCTCTTTTTTTCTTGTCCAGTTACTGAAAGCAAACATTGCAGGAGGTGGACGCACTCACCATGGGCGACCGTCTACAGTGGATGCTCTCACCTGCTGCACGTGGGCTTCATTGTTCCAAAGCACCTTGTGTAACGTTCACCGCCCGCTACACAGCTCATTATTTTCCTCTCTGGATAATGTATGGCCACTTCAGTTATGTGAACATCTATTTCTAAATGCACACCCTTGTAGCACTGACATCTCTCTGCTTTTATGTTTTTCAAAACGCTCTTGACATTTGTCAACTGGGTGAGTTCCAAACTTTCTTAACCTATTACCTTATTATTCCAGAACCTTTCAAACTTTCTTTCTCTCTAATTAGTGTGACTGAGAAGCACAGGGTAGGGTGAGCTCGCGTGCCGCGCCCACACTCACCACTGCTTGTAGTCCGCGTCGCAGTTACAGTAGTATTTGGGGTCTGTGCAGTTGCGCTCGATGCCGCAGGCGCATTTCTGAATCCCAGGCCCAGAGCCTCCCCAGTAGTAGTGCTTCTCATTGGCTTTGCCAACCCACCAGGTGTAAGGACTTCCATCTGCAAGAAAGTGGAGAGGCACATTGATATAGGAATAGGAATGGGTCATGATCCGATCTCACTTCCCCCTCCTTCCCCAGGAGCAGCGTTGCTCTCTGATAGATTGAACATCACTTACCCTCTTAAAAGTAAATGCATTCCCATAATAGAAATATTTAATTAAAAACAGCAGAGGGAATTGCAAGCTCAAGTTTTCCCAACAAGATATGGTTACTGTCCTTCGTTTTGAAACTAGGGGACACTGACATGCCTGGTGACGAGAGGAAACAAACCAGACACCTGGAGAAGTGGAGTTAACGGCTGGTCTGGTAAGAAGCTCCCTTGCTCTGTCTGCACCTCAAATAATCAGAGAGAGGACACATCTCAGAACATCAGCTCCATCTCCGATTATTTCTCCCAGTGACTAAAACAATCCAACAGTGTTAGTGTTTCATTACAGAGAGTGATGACAAATTGTACAGACCAAAGGAGCTGGCTCAGTATTCTTCATAAAAATCAGTAAAGGAAGCAAGATAATTAGCAGCCTCTCCTTCAGCATGAGGCTGAGAAATGTGCCACAGGGGAAATGGAGAGGGGAGCCAGCTGATTCCCACCAGCACCTTCTGGGAATAGAAGCCCAGGAGAGGAAGTCTCCTTATCAAGTTGCTTGGACCAGGGGTGTTCCAGCAGGAGCCCTAAGCTCTGCATGGGATCCAGGCTCTGAGCTTATCTCACATGGAAGACCCTCAGTTCCCTATAGGGAGGGGGTCTTACTAGACACCAGGGCAGGATCCAAAGGGATGATATGCAATGACATTTTCTTTATTAACTTTAAGGAGGTGACGTACTATAGTGACCAGGTAAGAGTAGCCCCATTTCCCATTTCTTCCCCCACCTCCCCACCTCTTTATTAAATCAAAATACTTTTAGTCTTATATACCTAATGGTCCCAGTTAGGACGAGGCAAAAATCAATGCTATTTTGTTTTCCTTCCTGGGAAAAGAAGTTAAGCGCAAAAGCTATTCCTGAGCTGTTTGCACATCTGCTGTGAGCAGAAGAATGCCAATCAGACAAATGTAATCCAGGGAAAGAGCAAATGTATGTTTTGTTATTAGCACTGGCTAATATGGTTAAATTAAGTCACTATCATCAAAATAAATTATTAATTTGGTGTATATTTTGTGTTCAGCAAGAAGAGAAGGATTCAATTTGCTGTGACCAGAGAATTGCCTTATTCCAGCGCTATGCTAATGAAGTTGTACTTTTTGCTTTACTAATCATTATTTACCTGTTAATTGGCTTTGGGGGAAAGCAGTTCAAGGCTATAAAAATGAAAAGATTTTTTTAAAGACAAGAATAGGAAGTAGTTATAAAAGAAATAATTTACCTAGTGCAAAGAGCTCAAGAACTTCTCTACCTTCAGAATATGACGATGTCTGTTAACTATATTAAGTAGGGTAAATACTGGGACAAGATTAGATAATGATGAACCATATTCTAAGTTAACTAGAGGCTGAATTATCAAAGGCATATTGTATTAAAAGAGCCAAGCATAGATTGAATTAAATATAACCACTATACTGCTTGTACTCAAGATTAAGCTTTATGGTGGTGAAGTGTTTATTATGGTTTGGATGATTAAATTGAGAAAGGGAAAAAGAAAAGAGGCTACTTGTTTCCCAAGACCGAAGAAACCAATAGATCTCTGTTATTTTTTCCGATAACAAGTTGTTCCAGAAACACAAGGGCAAATGTGAGGGACCTCTTGTTGGAAATGTGGTACATACCTGTGATTTGCAAAATGTGTTCTTTGAACCTTCTGGGCTACACAAAGTAATTTAATAGTTTTCTTAAATAAATATTATCTTGATACACTCTTCGATGAGACCCAGTATGGTCACTTGGACATTTAATTAGTTCTATTCAATCCACTTCTAGAGGATATTAAAAATAATACTATGAGGGTTTATAGTTTCCAAAATGAAAAATTAAAAGCATAATTTTAACTTAATAAAATCTAGTTTTATTATACCTATTACTACCTAGTTACTACAAATTCCATTAACTATGTGCAGGGGGCTTTTTAACAGAGGAATTAGAACAAGTACAAAAGCAGCAGAAACCTGCTTTTCACTGTTCTGCTTACTGCCCCTGCTGGCAGCTTCCTTACAGCCTTCCAGAGCTCCTGTGTCCTGGCAGCTTCTGGTTGTTTGGAGCCCCTTACAAGGCAGGATTCTCTTTCTAAAGAAATGACTGCATTCTGAAAAGTCTCCCATTTCCGCTTCCCTTCCATTTTTACCATGGCACCACCAATTTTTTTCTCCTCTTTATCAGTCAATTTCAGCTAACCACTTGGATCTGATTATAATACTCCAAGGTATGAATGGTAATAATATGCTTACTAAGTAAAGACACCTCTAATTGGTGTAAAAACCAGTAGGGATTGTAGCTGATTGACAAGGAGGTAGCCAGAGACCCAGGCAGTTTCTCTTAAAGGGGCCACGCATGGACTTATTTGGACTCACTCCCTCTGAGTTCCAGCACTGGGGCAGCAACTGGAAAGGATCCAGGGACATCTAGAGAGTAACTAAATTGTCTGGCATCAGGGCAAAAATGGGGGAGGGTATCGTTCTCCCACATAAAAATGGTGGCAGAGGTCATTGTTCCTCTGCTGAGACCTCCCCTCCCCTCCCATCCCCACAGAGCTGACTGGCAGGTGCCATATCTGAGTCTTCATCAACCTGACCCACACTGTTTGCCCTGCCCTGGTGATTCTCTGAGATCCCACACCACCCAATTTGTAGCAGACACAAGCTCTTTGCAGTGGCTTTTCCATATGAATGGCATGTCCTGCCTCAGGCTTCAGACTTTCCTAAAATCTTTCAAACAACTAGCAGCTGGACTCAGCATGCTCCATACCTCTCAATAAGTGGCCCCAGGTCTGGCACTAGTGGCAGTTTACTAAGATTTACAGCTTGGCCTCACCTGGGCACCTCCAAGCCCAACACAAATAGCATCCATCTGCAGATTTCTCTGTAGCTTGTGCCAGGTGGCCCCAGGCAGAGCATAGGACCTATGCTCTGGGGTCCTCAAACTTTTTAAACAGGGGGCCAGTTCACTGTCCCTCAGACCGTTGGAGGGCCGGACTATAGTTTAAAAAAAAACAAAACTATGAACAAATTCCTATGCACATTGCACATATCTTATTTTGAAGTAAAAAAACAAAACGGAAACAAATACAATATTTGTATTTGCATGTGGTCCACGGGCCGTAGTTTGAGGACCCCTGGCATAGGTAGTGGCTGACTTGGCACCTCCCAGGAGACCCCAGAGCCAGTGCACCCAGTGGACATCTTCAGACTATGACAGATTACAACTCTACACATCCATGAGTGACACATTCAAGGGTGAACTCGGAAAGCACCAAAGTCCCACTGAAGCAAATCCTGCCCCATAGGGGTATCTTCTGCACAACAGCTCTTCCACTGTAGTCACAGGTGATCCTCACAACCAATTGGCCTGGGGTCAATTTCTCCCAGTTATGCCAACAGCAATCAAGGCTCAACTACAACAGAATAGTGCACACAGCCCACACAGAGGCACACCTAGAGTACCCAGCTATGGTGACTGGGGAGGCTGAGCCATTGGGCCCTATAGGACACCTACTACACAATGCCACTCTACCAAGTCCAGGAGACATATCAGCTGTACCTAATACATAGAAACAAACACAGGTAAGTAGCCAAAATGTGGAGACAAAGAAACATGTCACAAATGAAAGTTCAGAAGAAATATCCAGGAAAAGAACTAAATGAAATGGAAGCAAGCAAACTACTAGATACAGAGTTCAAAACAATGGTTATAAGGATGCTCAAGGAACTTAGTGAGAATGTCAAGGAACTTAGTGAGAATTTCAAGGAACTTAGTGAGAGCATCAAAGACATGAAAAAGGACTAGTCAGAAATGAAGGATACACTAACTGAAATGAAGAATAATTTACAGGGAATCAACAGGGGAGTAGAGGATCAAATCAGTACTTTGGAGTATGTGGAAGCAAAAAACACCCAATCAGAAAAGAAAAAAGAAAAAAGAATCCAAAAATATAAAAATAGTGTAAGGAGCCTCTGAGACAATTTCAAGTGTACCAACATTTGCATCATGGGATTGCCAGAAAAAGAAGAGAGGGAGCAAGAAATTGAAAACCTATTTGAAAAAATTATGTCAGAAAACTTCTCCTACCTGGTGAAAGAAAGAGACTTACAAGTCCAGGAAACACAGAGTCTCAAACAAGATAAACCCAAAGAGGCCCACACTAAGACACATCACAATTAAAATGCCAAAGGTTAAAGACAGAGAGAAGTGTTGAAGGTTCTTCTTTAAGAAGAATAAAAATAAAAAAATATGAACAAAAAATGTCAATAAATACATATCTATCAACAATTAATCTACAAATAAAAATAAACAAACAAGGAATAGAATGAACAAAATAAACCGATGAACAAAATCGAACCAGAAGCATGGAAACATGGAACAGACTGACAGAGAGAAGGAAGGAGCTGGGGGCAGGAAGAAATGAACCAAAGAACTTCTATGCATATATGCATTACGCATGGACACAGGCAATAGGGTAGTGAAGACCTGGGGTGGGGAGGGATCCGGGTGGAGGAAGGCACTGGGGAGAAAAAGGAGAGGACATCTGTAATACTCTCAACAAATAAAGATAAAAAGTTTTAAATTTTTTTTCAGAATAATTGTCATTCTAATACGTTTTTGTAAATTCATTTTACTATTTACATCAAGAACTTTAAAAATAAAATTAAAAATCATATATGTAGACTTTCTCACAGATACCAAAGACTATATCTCAAACATCCTATAAATTTTGTGAAATCATCTTTTTCAACTGGGTAACAATAGTCTCTCTTGTTTCCCAACCATCTAATTCTATGTTGTTCTATGTTAATGCAAAGACCAAACAGAATGAAATCCAAGAAGCTTTGTGGAGTTCATATTACAGACAG